ATTCCCTCTCAGAGTTTGGTTATTCTGTTTCAAGAGAATTTGGTTACTTTCTCAAGAAAATTTGGTTATTTTCTCTCAAGAGAGTTTGGTTATTCTATTTCAACAGAGTTTGGTGAAGAGATCGCTGCCATGCATGGCTTGAACTCATGTTTAGGATCTGAAAGAGAAGGTCCCAAACCAGAACCAGTGGGATGCTCAAACACTTCTTCCACAGTGACTGAGGACAAAGAACCTTTCACACTATTAATAAGTTTGTTGCCACTAATCAGTATTAGAAGTGACCCCTGTAAAGGCCTTTTATTTGTTGTTTTGTGACTCTGCAAGAATGCAGCCATCCCTTGATCAACTCGGGCTGGAATCTGCTAAGATCTCACCTCATGGATTTTGTCCCCAGAAGGAACATGAAGAACCAAATCTCTCCCAGAGCTATTTTACACCAACCCAAGGGGTTGCATCCCATCTGTAGCGAGTGGAAACCACCCCTGCAGCCGACTCTACCTTTGTCCTTCTTGAAATCCAGTGCATCTTGTTTGTCCGTGACAATCTCCTTCATGTTGACGACGCTGCGGTGGATGAGCTGCCGCAGGATTTTGATCTCCCGGATGGCCGTGATGGGGAATCCTTCCTTCTCATTGTCCAGGCGYACCTTCTTCAGAGCCACCAGCTCACCTGCCAGGGCACAATGGGGTCACAATGGGSTCATTTCACTCCCAGAGAAGTTGGGAGCAGCCCCATGCATGGAAAATGCCCTCCRAAGTAGGGCTTTCAAACCAGCTTTAGTTTTGTCCCTGCTGTTTTAGTTAAATTGTTCTGCCAGGAGTTCTCACATTCTGTGCTTTTCCTACCCTGCTCCAGCAGAAGGGGGAACAGAAATTCACCCTGGAATTCCCCAAGCTCTATTACAATAAAATCTGACAAAGGCCAATTTAAAAAGCAGAGTTTCACCACAAACCACACCTCAGGGCACAGGATCTCACTAGGAGAGCACAAAAACCTGGGCACTAAATTCAGGATTCCAGAGCTCCTATCCTGCTTTTCTGCCCCTTTTGGAAACTCCTGATGGAAGTGCTTATCCCAGGGCTGGAGCCACTTCTCGTTCTGCAGGTATTTGTCACTGAGGAGCAGCACTAAAAGGCTGAGCACACCCACAGAGCTTGGACTGGAATTCACCTGGAGCCACCCTCACCTGTGTCCTTGTCCTTGGCTTTGTACACCTGCCCRTAGGTCCCTTCTCCGATTATCCCGATGATGTCAAACTTGTCCACACAACGCTTGCCCCAGTCGCTTTCTGTCTGTCTCCTCTCCCCATACCGAGGACAACAGATTCTGCAGGAGGGAAGAAAAGCTCTGTCAGACACCCCAGAGTCATCCCACAAAAAAGAAAAAAAACGCTCAGCTGAGTTAATCCCTAAAACCCAAAAGCAAAGCTCAGGCAGGTTGGCTTTGCTATCCAAAATTTGGAATGTTTGGGGGAATTTAATGAGTTTTGCTGCAAAATCCCAACTATTCCTGATAAAGGCACTGTGGGATGGGAATACAATCCTGGATAGCATTATCATACAAAAACGAATGTTTGGGGTATTTTGCAGGATGCTGGATGTTTGATTTTTATTTCAGACACTCTGTGCAAAGCATCAACAGATTTTGCTCCCTCAACAGCTCCTTAAATTTATTATCAGGGGAATTCTCCATGCCTTGAACAAGGAATCCCAGAATGGTTTGGGCTGGAAGGGACATTAAATATGATCCAATCCCACCCCCTGCATGGGCAGGGACACCTTCCACTATCCCAGGGTGCTCTAAGCCCTGTCCAACCTGGCCTTGGACATTTCTCAGGAAKTCCAGAGCTTCTCTGGACACCCTGTGCCAGTGCAGTTCCATGAAATGTCCGTGTTTCCTTCACACAAATCTCCCACTTGGAATTTTTGAAAGCAACAAGAGCTTTATGCAAAGATGCTCATCCAGAGGTTTCTTTGGAATATGGGCATGGCAAAATCAAAGAGAAAAGAGCTTTTGGGGTAGATGTGGCTGGAGATTGAACATATAAATAATGGGGTGAGTTGCCTTTAGCTGAGGGTACAAATGTGAAACAACCCACAGGAAACAGTCATGATACTGAATAATACAGAAATAGGAACTGGTTTTRTCCCCCATCTCACTTCCCTCAATGAAAAGCTCTCAAACGAGTCTGGCGACTTAAGAGATGCAAACATTATTAAAATAAAAATAAAATAAATAAAGTCAGCCTTACTTTGGTCTCTTTTTGAAGGGTTGCTGAGGTGGTGTGGCTGCCTTTGGTTCCGGGGAGTCGGGAGGAGATGGGTCCCCCCCAGGGAGCTCTGGGGGGAGCGGGAGGTCCGTGAGTAAGTGTCGTGGTCTCTGCTCTCTGTCTTTCTTCACAGGTTTTGGAGGAAGAATCTCTTTTGGACTAAACTCCGAAAAGTTAATACAACACAAAAGTCAGACTCGACAGCCAGKGAAACAAAMAAAAAAWTAAAATCTACTGTAGGACAACAGCTCTGGTTGACAACGTGAGGTTTAAGTGTTAAAAATCGGAACAGCCAAGTATAAAATAAAACAGCCTTAAAAGTTACAATGCTAATGCACCAGGAGAGAAAAGTGTCAGAGTGGAACACAGCATTAAATGAACACACAGGTCTGCACTAGAACTTGCTCCATTTGCACAAACCAGTACCAGAAATTCGGAGTTTCCTGTGAGGCAGCTCAGGGATCAGCCAGCACCCACTGTCTGAYCTTTACTTCCTCTATTTGCTCCGTTTACCATCGTGAAATTAAATGCTTGACTTGGTAAGGACCACTATAAATACACAGCCAGGGTTAAACCTCTCTCCACAAGCAACTTTTAACCTCTTAGCAAGGACTGAAATGTGCTTTTAATTCCTGAGGAACCAAAAGTTGATTTTTAAAATCCAATTACCAACAGCATCAGGAGTTTGGTTTAGAATGGCAGGAGTTGCATGAGGAGAACCTCCTTTCTCTTTCATGTATTCAGCAAGAATTCCTAGGTTTGAATAGTCACRAATTTTCTATGCAAATCTCTGCTTCACCAGGAAAAGAAGAACATTAAGAGATCCTCACAGCCTTCCCAGGTCTGTTTTTAGGGCAGGGAGCAGGTTTGGTGTTTGCACCATCAGGTCTAACCCTTCAGAATAAATGAACTGATGGAAGTAGGTCATTTTCCCAATTATTTTATTAGACACTGCCTAATCTGCACGACAATCTCTTGTGAAATCTGCTTAGGGAAGGAGGAAGACAAGAARTGCCAGACATGGGAGAGCTGGATGGCCTGAAACTCTCCCCACATTGACAGCAAAACTCCTTAGGAGCAGAATAATCGTGTTCAAACWTCTACAGAGRATCATGGAATTGTTAAARCTGGAAAAGATCAAATCCAACCACRAACACTTTCACCACYAAACCACAAAAAAGTTCAGCCTTTTTCCAGACACCCTCAAAAGCAACTTCTTTACAAGAACTCTGAAGGAAGGGTGAAGCTGTGTCTGGAGAGTGAACCTGCAGTGCCCAGCCTCCTTCCCTTTCGCCAAAAATTCCCATTTTCTTGCTTTTTATCTGTTCAATTCTCTATTTGTACTCAGTTCCTGTAAATTCAGTTCCTCCAGGACACCTGGGCAGGTCACCAGGGGGAGGAAGCCAAACAGAGCCTTCAGAGCTGCCCRAGCAGAGAAAAGACCAAGCGTGACCACCACCAGCACAACAAAGGCTCCCTGGAGCTCTTTTCCTCCTCTGTCCTAAAGCAGCAGGAATGGCAACCCTAAACTCACAGGAATGGCACCCCCAAACTCGCAGGAATGGCACCCCCAAAGCTGCAGGGATGGCACCCCTAAACTCATGGGAATTCCTAAAGGAGCAGGAATGGCACCCCTAAAGCAGTGGGAATGGCACCCCCAAAGCTGCAGGAATTGTACTCCTAAAGCAGCAGGAATGGCACCCCCAAACTCGCAGAAATGGCACCCCCAAACTCGCAGGAATGGCACCCCCAAACTCGCAGGAATGGCACCCCTAAAACAGCAGGAATGGCACCCCTAAACTCCCATGAATTGCACCCCTAAAGCTGCAGGAATGGCACCCCTAAACTCACAGGAATGGCACCCCCAAAGCTGCAGGAATGGCACCCCCAAAGCTGCAGGAATGGCAGCCAGGTGAGTGCTGCATTCTCACAAAGCTGCACCTTTGAAGTGCAGTTTCAAACCAGGAGAAATTTGTACCAATTTCTTCCAAACAGCTTTTCCTCCTCTCCTGGTGAACCATTCAGGCCTAAAAGCGTTTCAAAAGGTGATAATTCTGGAGAGGTTACAGAGTCTCKACTTGATTGAGGCGTGTTCTGTCCTTGGACACTTCAAAGCCCAATTTCCAAGCCTGTCCTCGCCACAGGCTTGGGGCTGGAACATTCCCCAGGCTCAGCAAGGACAAAAGTCCAGCTCAAAGAGTTTTGCTCACAGAAACCAAGGCAATTGGTGAAGGGGGAGATTCTGCACAGTCAGGGCCACACAGAACTGCTGCCAGACTCAGCAAAACGAGTGGGATTTCCCATCCTTTTATCAGGAAAAAGGCACACGGAGCCATTTACTGAGCTCCAGCATCACCCTAGCCCTCAGGTCAGGGATAAAATACTTTTACAGAGCTAAGCTACACCTGGGTGGTAAAAAAAAAAGGTCTAGGTGTGATTGAAAAAATAGAGATATTCAGGATAACTTTTCTAGGAATAATTGAAAAAATAAAGATTTTCAGGATAACTTCAGGGGTTGGAGAGAAGGGAAGCTGCAGCAGGATTTGCTTTGCCTGGTTGTTTGGGTTGGGAAAATCAGCTCAGAGCTCCTGCTCATCACAGAYRTTTAAACTCAGTAATATTTSCTGAAYAACATCACACAGCTCAGARAGGGCAACAAACACACACCAGCCTCACTTTTAGGTTGGAGGCAGTGAAACATTTCCYTGATTGGCATCAATACCAGAATCATCCGTGAAAATCAATTCAATTGTTCAGAATGTGTAACACTTCACCACAGGGTGATTGTATCGAGTCAGGACTGTGGGGTAACACACTGAGCACTAAAAACATGTTTTACTACCCAATCCCAATTCAATGATGGCTGGGAAGATACAGGAGCTTTTAGAGAACTACGGCAAAAAAAAATATCATTGATGACCTTAAATTAACAGAACTACAACATACTAACAGCTAGAAAAGGAGAGAAAAATCATAAATATTTGGGTTTTTTCCTTCTCCACTCCATTCTGGATATTCTGTTACTTTCTTCCTGCCAAAGGAAACCCCCACACTGGGGTTTTCAAAGACAAGTTCATCACAGAAGCCACAACCACCCCCAGCCTAGCCAGAGCTACAATTAGAGGACAGAGCCAAGGCTGTGAGTTTTKATCAGAAATTATCAGGAAATAAAGTTGAAGTAGGTGCAGTTTCACTCATTTAAAAACTTATTCAAACAAACAATACGTGCTTCTCAAGCAAGAAAAGATTGTATCAATTACTTAAGAATCAAGACAATATTCAAGTTAAACCAGTGCTGGATTTACACATGGCCTGTGTGCTGGTGAACTTGGAACACAAAAAGCTCTGGTTTGTGTTCTCGTATTGGAATTGTTAATATTTTTCCTGTTCTTAGAGTACAAGTTTTTGAGAATTAAGCAAACTAACAAAAAAAAAAAAAATTTCAAGTGTGCAAACAGCTCCAACACAACAAGAGGCATAATCCCAGATCCATGTTCCATCCCTGTAACAAACAYGAGCAAAGGAGGGATGTGAAACCTTTACTGAGAGCACTAAAGCAGCAGCCAAACCTCTCATTTCCCACAGAGAAAAGAGGGAAACAACCTGCACGAGATCATCAAACTGCACACAAACCTGGCAGTGCCAACACCCGGAATAGCCCCAGGGTAACTCCTTTATACCAATGCCACAGTTGTACTCTGCAGGATAAACTCATAACCATAAAACCAACCCCAAAACCCCTCTTTATTCAAGGCTTTGCTCTTAAAGGCAAAGAGGAYGCTCTGATGTGACCTTACCTATCCAAGTCATCTTCCCCAACTAAAATAGGGGGGAGCGGAAGCGGAGGCAAGGTGGAAGTTTTCAGGTGTGGGATAGCAGCCGTCACAGACACTTGGGTTTTTGGAGCCACCTGGACAGAGGACTGGGAGTTCACCTGAGAGGATAAAGTAGACGTCCTTGGGTGGGAAGAAGATGGCAAAGACGTTGGGGCTGAAGTAGGGACCTGAACAGGAGTCACTGGGGCCGGAGGCAGCGGTGGGACAGCRGGTGACGGAGGCAGCGGCGGCAGCGGCGGCGTGGGAGGCGGAGGGGTGGTGGTGGGCAGAGGTGGAGGAGGGGATTTGATTGCGGGGAGAGGGGGTGGGATCTCCTTCTCCACCGTTTCTGTCTCCTTTGGAGATACCAGGTCCTCTACCACTGCTACGGGCTTCGAGTCCTTTGTTCCCGTGGGTTTGGAATCCCGAACTGGAACAGGATGTTTCCTCTCCGAGTTCTCCTCTGCCTTGGATTTCGTTGWCTCCGCAGGGGCTTTAGGCTCTGCGTTGGTGTACAGTAAATTAACCGAGTCCGTGTCCGGAGCTTTCTCAGATTTAACAGTTTTGGTGACTTTTTTAGACTCCGTCCCAGCCTCCTTGAGTTCAGCCAAGCTGTTTTCCTTCCTAGCCAGGAAAACAGGGGAGCCCTTCGCCTCTTTCCCATCCACCTTGGCCGCAGCGGCTGCCGCGGCCGCTCGYTCCTTCTTCTTCCTGCTGAGCTCTGCTCCAAGGCTGGAGTTGAGCGGGAGCCTGGTTGGGGAGATGCTGGAATGGCGACTRCGGGAGCCAGACCTCTGCTTTTTGCTGTGAGATGAGTGTCTCGAGTATCCAGGACTGCGGCTCCGGGACTTCACGGATTTCCTGGGGAGAGAACGGCGGGGAGAGAAATGAAACTGAACTTCTTTCACCCTCTGTACTACTCACCACCAGCTGAATCCATTGTTGGTCAGCTCAGAGAGTCCATCAGGGCTGTCAGGAGAGACTAAAGCCACTGAAAAGGGTTTATGAGTCAATCAGCTGTTTTATACCATCACCATCATCCATTCTCTCTGTGCCAGACCCACTGTTACACTGGGAAGAGAAAGAAAGGATTGAGGCTGGACAAGTCCAAAAGTAAAGAGATCACAACTCACACACCCAAAAGGAGACTTCAGGCAAGAGGATGAGCTGGCAGTTTAGGAATCTTTCACAGGAATTAGTACAACTTTAAAGGAAGCCATGGATAAAACAAAACTGCCCTCACAGGAGTGCTGCCTCAGGAAATCGTGCATTTCAAGCTCATTTTCCCTCCCTGATTTTTTTACTGCCATTAGAACTCAAATTTACATAGTAGATTTGGGAGAAGAGAAAAAAAATACCCAGAAATTTTTACTTCTATTGGTCTTGGTCTTCCCCTACAAAAAACGGGCTCTGAATCAAGTGAGTGTGCAGAAATACTAATGGAAAATCTGTGCAGGGCAGGAAACAACTCACACCATCAGGGTTCACACTGCATGAACTTGCTCAGGAGAGAGGGGAGACTGATGGGAAACCAGATAAAAACGAAAATAGAAGTGGAAACTGATATTTCCAGYGTCCATATCAAATTCCTGATAAGCCAGAAGTGTTTCCTCCACTCCAGGAGGAATTGGGATTGGGCAGGGTGAGGCAGGAGGCTTTAACAGTGTGCAGGAAACGCAAAAATTTTGAGAACAGACCCCACAGATACCTTAACAGAAATAGCACTCCATGATTTATTACTCAGGACACATCTGATTTGGAAAACATGGAATTCCCTCAAAACAACCCCACAGTAGTCATAAAACACACCTGATAGCAGCAGCTCAAATACTCAGAACATAATTAACACCACCAATTAGCATTATCCCAGGACAATAAACATTTGGAAAATAAACTGCAGAGCTGAGACAACACAAAGTTCCTGGCTTGACACCAGCAGCACCTTCCAGGAGGGGCAGCTGTGACTGGAGGAGGTGAAAGATTTCCCTACAAGGTGTGTAGGGGGTTCCCTCCCTACTCCAAGGATCAGCATTCCTCTCTCTGCCTTCAAGTACAACCCCAACCCTCGTGCTGGCAGTGGTCAAAGAACACCAKGGCTGGAGGTGAGTCCTTACCTTTAGACTTGCAAAATAAATATACAACCAGAAGGAGAAAAAAAATGGGCTCTGCTGTTTCCCTCCTCAAAACTGTAATGCTGCCTTGGGATCAGCTTTTTCCAAGGTTTCTGCTCAGAGAACCAACGGTCTGGGCTGCAGTTTGCCTGTTACAATGAGCTGGGAGAGCAGTGAGCTTCTCACCAGCTCCAAGAGATTTCCAGGCTATGAAAAACATCCCTAATGGATCCTATAGGATGTCGTTTATTGCAACCACAAATAGTTTTGGGGTTAACTTTCCCTATTCCAATTTAGTCAGGATGGATTGTTCAAGACTCGGCTGCAATACTCCTTTTCCTGCTCCCCGTTTTCCATCCTCCCTCAGGATTAATCCCCAAAAATCATGGAATCATGGAGTGGTTTGGGTTAGAAGAGAGCTTAAAGCTCATCCAGTCCCATCCTTGTCACGGGCAGGGACATCTTCCACCACCCCAGGGTGCTCCAAGCCCTGTCCAACCTGACCTTGGCTACTTTCAGGGATCCAGGAACAGCCACAGCTTCCCTGGGCACCCTGTGCCAGGAGCTCCCCAACCTCACAGGAATTTAATGSAGCTGGATGCAGAGCAATCAAACCAAATCACTCAGCAGATCCCAAGTAAACTCCTGCAAAACCCCAATTTCACCTTATTTAATGGTGCTAATTTAGAAACCAGGAATTTAGACACCAGGGACACCTGCCCAGACCAGGACRGGTGAGGCTGGGCACGTGGTGGAATGGTCAGACCCTCTTACAGGGGTTTGTGTAGGAGCTGCACCACAGAACCAGCATTTCCCAGGGCTGGAATGACCCCCTGACCTTCCAGCAGCAAATATCCACGCTCCAGTTCCACCAGGAATAAACCCACCCATTCCCTCCCAGCCCTCYTCACTCCACTCACCCTTTTTCTCCTCACTACCAACAATTAGCTCCAACAAACAACTGCAGTTCCCAAGCCCATTTTCCAGGCTGGTGTTTACAGCTGCTCTGAGAGACCCAAAAAAGGCCCCACATCCAGAAACTTTCCTGTTCTCCCAGCTCCACCAACACCACCAGGAACAACAACACCATGGCAAACCTCACCTCCCATCCTGAGACCTGAATGAGGGGCATTTGATCACTCCATATCTCAAAAAAAAACAGGCAAAAAGTACAGAGAATGCTTCTGGAAAAGAACCATTTCCATCCTCTGGAATAGAAATTTGTGGCTTTACCTGTAGTCACTAATTAGAACTTTTACCCCTTTCATCCTTAATTTATTAAGCCTTGCTGGAACATTCCACATCTTCCTTGCTTTGCCAAGGTTATCCAGGAGAGAAAATGGGAAATTCAGCCTCAAATGCCTTCCTCCTTCTGAATAAAGATGTTTAGGGATTAAAACCCACCCTGCTGTCCCTCCAGAACTGAAAAATAGACACCAAAGATAGAAAATAGACATAAAAGATAGAAAATAGACATAAAAGATACCAACCACAACAACTGTGAATTGACAAAGTCAGAGATGATGGCTTCGCCTAAAAATCCAAATTAAAAAGCATTATGGGATTCATTTAAGTCACACAAAGAGAAGATTGAGATGGTCTTTGGAGAAGGGAATGCAAGAAACTTCCATGCTGAGATGTTTAACAGGTGTCACAGAGGAGACCAGCAAAACCCCACGTCCACATAATTCCGTATCATCCACCTTCTAGGAACACCTACAAATATTTAATTTTATCTGCTCTAAACCATAAAGCAGAAACCAGAATCTGTGAAGCCTGACTGCTCCARTTTCTCAAAAAACAAGCTTTATTTCTCATTTTTGAATGCCCAGCAACCCTTCACCATGGCAAGGACGTGTGTTACAACGGCCACTACTCCAGCACGTGCATACTCACACCTCATTACTACATTAATACACAGCACTTCCCACCTCCTGCAAGCTGAGGGACTCTGGAATTCCATCTCCTCGTTTGAGCTGCAGTGCCAACAGTTGCTACAYGGAATGGCAAAGCACATCTGTTATTTTCCCTACTGACCAACTCATGCTCGTTTCCTCCTCGATGGGAAGGGAGTTGTTTTCCACAGCACTGGAAATGCAAACAACTCTGGATTTTCTCCAATCAGCACATGGATGAAGCTCCCTAATGCTGCATTTTGGATGTGGAGATGAAAGAAAACACAGAATGCACTAAAAATCACCCCACATCATCAGTCAGTGGAAATAACTGAGTGTCCCAGAAAAGCCTGAGGAACGTAAGCCACGGTCAGGTGTTCCCTGCCTGAGTGTGCCASTTAAAGAGGTTTTCTCTCCCAAAAATATTCCTGCCCCTCCACAGGAGCCACAGAAGGGATCAGCCACTGCCTAAAATCAGCTGCCTCCTTTCACACTCATCTGCAGCATGTCAAGGTGAGGAGGGCTCAGCTCACCTACTCCTTCAGGTGTGCCCTGAGCCCCTTCAGGTGAGTCCTGAGCCCCCTCAGGTGTCCCCTGAGGCTCCCAGACACACCTGACCACAAATCCCCCCCCTCCTATCTCACCTTGCAGCCTGGGAGGCTCCACAAAGCAAAACTAACACATGAATTACAACTGTCAATTCACCTGACATGGAAAACACATGGAATTCCCTCTGTCCCTTTCCTACAACCACTGAAGATGCTTTCCAGAGGGGTTGGAATACCTCACACAGTCAGTGAGTTATCTGCCCAGGAAAGAGAGGAGAGTAAGTTATCAACTCAGTGATTCAGASAGTTTGGTACAAGCTGAGTGTAAACAGTGAGTAACCTTTGGAACTTATCGGGTTTGGGGTCCTTAAAAAGTAGGTCTGAAAGTTTAGGGAAGCAGCACAAAGTGCTCTGAAGCTGCTCCCATAACTCAGGAAAATGAAACTGTTGGATTTCCCAACTCAGAAGCAACCAGACATTGACACAGAGAGGTTCTCCTGGGAAGTGGAGTAACCTGGGGGAAACACAGCTCTTAGGACACCACTACAGTTCCCAAAAGCTTTTCCCTGTTTAGACTGGACAGACACGTTACCTAGAGCCACAACTCAGGGTTGTGTCAGTGAACACAGTGAACCTACCATCCTCACTCTCCCAAAGGATTAGTAAAAGCAAAAAAGATTGAGGGGAAAGAGGAGAAGATCATTCAGGCTTATCTCTGAGAACATCCCAGGTGTACACAGAGAAAACAGGGCAGAGGAGCAGCAGCCTGGAGGAAATTTTCACATTGTAAAATCACAGTGGAATAGGAAGATTTTACGTCAGAGCTTTCAGAGGGCTGAAACCAACACAGAACTCCCAGCAAGGACAAGTTCTCCATGGAAGACAGCATTCCTGAAGTTCAGAGTTTTAGTAACAAAGACCAAATTCCACAAGCCCYGTGTGCTTGGGGAACTGCTGAGCTGGAGGATGCAGCACAGCAACCAGGGAGCTGAGCATTCCTATAACCATTACATTCCAGGTCACATCTGAATTGCCATGGAGCTCCAAGCAAAGCTCCACAGCATCCATGGTGACAACTGGAAACTCACTGAATGYGAGCCAAAGCTACAAAAAGAAAGGATCAACATTAGACCGTGTCACAGGATGATTAATGAACACCTGAAATAAAACACACGGAGCTACCTTCAAAGAATTGTTTCCTTCTGGAGCAGAGTTACTGAGTAAAAATTAAAAAAAAAAAAAAAAAGAGAGAAAATAAAGAGTTAAACCAAAATCCAGCTGGTTGCTCCTCACCCTTCCAGAAAACACCGATTTCAGAAAGGAAGGAAGAAACTCTAGTGCTGAGAAAAGAAAGTTGAGGCTGAGAGATGAAGTTTGCACGTGGCTGTCTCTAACCCAAAGGAAAAAAAAACACAAGTCAGTTCAGAAAGAGCAAAACCCATCCCCAACGAGCTCTCCTGAAAAGTGGGATCAAGTTCCCACACGTAGTAAACACACAGAGGCTTCCAGAAAGAGGTGAAAACATTCCCGGTGGCTGAACTTCCCGCCAGGTAAGCGCCTCAGATCCCGCCCGAGAGCCGTGGCAGGGGCCACTCCAGAGGTGGGTGTAACTTAATCCCAGCTCATCCAGCCTCCCTGCCCGGAGCCAACATGGACGCTGCCTCCCGCCACGCACAGAGGCGTTTCCACAAGTGTGAACTCCAGTTCCAAGGGAATCGTYGTGGCCCCAACCAAAGCAGCTCCACACACATCGCTCTGCGGCCAAATTTGGCACCAGTGGGGAGGAAGGGAGTTCACAGAGTCATGGAATGGTTTGGRTTGGAAAGGACCTTCAAGACCATCCCATTCCATKYCATGGGCAACCTTCCACTCTCCCAGGTTGCTCCAAGCCCCRTCCAACCTTGGACACTTCCAGGSAYRRGRCATCCACAACTTCCCTGGACAGCCTGTGCCAGGCTTTCACCACCCTCATAGGTAAAAATTTTCCCCCAATATCCCAYCKAAACCTACTCTCCTTCAATCTGCACCCATTCCCCCACATCCTGTCACTCCAACCTCACCCAAACAGCCTCCCCCATCTTTCCTGGAACTCCCTTCAGATCCTGGAAGGCATTCACCTCTTACATCCCCACCTCCATCCCATCCCAAACCCTTCCCAGCTCTCAGGGCGAGGTGGGGCACACGCACCTGGCGATGGGGCTCCGGCTCACGGAGCGCTTGGAGGCGAAGGGGCTGCTGGAGCGGCGGCGGCTGTAGGGGCTCGGGGATCTCCCGCTGTAGGAACCGCTGCCCCGCTCGTAGCTGGACGAGCGCCTCCGGCCGTAGGGGCTCACGGATCGCTGCCGCCGGCTGTAGGGGCTGGGCGAACGGGCGTTGGACTGGTAGCCCACGGGCTCCTTGTAGGGTGGGCTGAGGGACTGCCGGCGTGAGGARCCGCCGGGGCTTTTCCTGTAGGGATCGTAGGTGCTGGAGGTGTGCGAGCGGGGCGGGCTGAGGTCGTACTCCTGGACGTAGGASGCTCCCGAGGGGCTGTCGTCCAGTTTTGGGCTGTCCGACCATTTCCTATGAGGGCTCCTGGATTTCCTCTTGGGGCTGTCGATGGTTTTGTAACTTTTGGGAGCATCCCTTTTCCGATGGCTTTTGCTGCGCTCTTTGTGGCTGGACTTGAGCTCCCGCTCCTTCCTGGATTTCTCCTTGTGCGCCTTGGCCGAGCGCGACTCCTTGTTGCTGCTCTTGGAGGARAGCGCCTTGGGGTGCTCCTCGCTCTCCAGGAGCCTCTTGGAGGATCCCGATATCCTCTCCTTGGTGGACCTGCTGGAAGCATCCAGGCTCTTTTCCAACTTCCTGTCTTTCTCCGCCTGTTTGCTCTTCATCAGCTCCCGGAGTCGTTTGTGCTGGTGGTGCCGGTGCTTCTGGGACCTCTCGCTCCTCTCCGCCCTCCTCTCCTCGTTGTCCCTCCTGTCCAGCTTGAGGGCCACATCGTCGGAGAAGGTGTCCGAGTCCGAGCTGATGTCATCGTACTCCACCAGCGGCTTGATCACCGCTCCCAGGGGCGCCGCCGCTTCCTGGGCCGCCAGCGGGGACTCCTTGGAGTGCCTGGACTTGTGCCTCTTGTGCCTGGAGCCCGCCCGGTGCCTCTCCTTGCTGTTGGAGCTCCCGCTGCCCGGCTGCGAGGACCCCCCGCCGCCGTCCTTCTTGCCCCCATGTCTCTCCGGATTTGGCATTCCTCCCCCGCTGCGCTCGGGAACGGCGAGGGGGAGACTCCGCGAAACCCCCGAACTTCAAACTCCCTCCGCGCCCGCCCCTCGCACCATCCACCCCGGCCTCGGTCCTCCCTCCTACATGGGGAGCGGGGCCCGAGGCCCCGGAGGAGGCGGGAGGGACGGGGAGGGGAGGGGGGGAAGGATCCGGGAGGGGAGGGGGAAGCGCCGCGGCCTCACCGCCTCATCCGAGGGGCCCAGGCCCGGCGGGCAGCGCGGCCGCGGGGGCGCCCCGGGAAGGCGGGGCCCGGGCCCGGAGCGCTGCCCGAAGGGCCCCGGAGCCGCCGCCGCCGCCCCCGGCCCGGCCCGGCCCCCGCGCTCTGCCCGAACCGGAGCGGCGCCGACCGGGGGCACCACCAACTCTCGCGAGACCCGCCCGCAACTCTCGCGATAGCTCCGCCGCCACCCCTCCCTCCCTCCTCCCTCCGCGCGAGTCCTTCTCGTCCGCGAGTCCTCTCGGAGAAGGGCGGGGGCGCGCGCTTGCTCCTCTCGCGAGAGCCGCGAAATCGCGCCGCCGGCGGCTTCCCAGCGAACTTTATTGGGGCGCGGGGCGGGGACAGCGCCCCCTAACGCCCGGCCCGCAACAAAGCTCCATGGCGGAGTCGCCGCCGCGCCGGCCCGGCCTCCCGCCGCTCTCCCGCTCCGCCGCGCTGCGCTCTAAAGCCGCCGGCGGGTCGCTGTGGGGGCCCCGCCCCGGCGCACGGGCGGGTAACGGGCGGTAAACGCTCCGTTAGAGCTCCACAGCGACSGCCGCCGCGCTTCTAGGAGGCTGAGGGGGGGCGGGGCGTGCTGTCCCTCGAGCCACGCCCACCCCTGCGCGCGCGGGCGCGGCGGAGTCTCGCGAGAGCGCGGGAGCGCAGCCGCGGGCGCAGCGATGGCGGCGGCCGCCGCCGTGTGAGGGCGAGGGCGGCCCGGCCGCCGCCCCCGCTCCCCGCCCGCTCCCGATCCCTCTCCCGCTCCCGTTCCCTCTCCCGATCTCGGCCCCGGACCTGCAATATGAAGGCAGCGCCGGGCAGCGCCGAGGGTGAGTGCGGCGCGGAAAGCGCGGGGGTTCCCGCCGGCCCCGTGAGGGAATGAGGGGGTCCCTGTGGAGCCGAGGCTTCGGGTCTGGGCAACCCAGGGCTGGGGCTGAGGTGTCGCCCCGGAACGTGAAACGGGAGAGGGTCACAAAGGTGATTTGGGGTCTGGGACGTCTGTGTGATGAGAAGTGACCGTGGAGCCAGGCCTGGTTACTCTGGAAAAGAGAAGGATGAGAGGGGATCCCGTCAGTCCATACGAATGTGTCCGGGAGGTGTCAGAGGATGGTGCCGGGCTCTGTTCGGTGGTGCTCAGCCACAGGACGAGGAGCAGTGGCCAGAAACTGAAACACAACAAGTTCCACTTCAGCATGAGGAAGAGCTTCTCTCCAGGAGGGTGTAGAGGACTGGAACATCTGCCTAAGGAAGGTGTGGAGATGTTCCACACCCACCTGGACACATTCCAGAGGGATCTGCTCCAGGTGACCATGCCTTGTTCTCTGGAGGTCCCTTCCAACTCTGTCCTGGGATTCTGGACAATTCACTGTAGGGTGTGGAGGGGGCTTGGGCCACCTGAGATCCAGGGATCCCTTCCCATTACCAACATCCTGGGATTGATGCAGCTGTGAGGTATAAAGTGCTTGAAAACAAAATTTCAGAATACCTGTGGTTGGAAGGGACCTTTGGGGACCACCAGTTCAACCCCACTGTCAAGGCAGGGCCATCTGGAGAAAAAGACACAGGTGGGTTTGGAATATCTGCAGGGTGGGAGGCTCCAAAACATCCAGCACACATTTATTTATTCCTTACACTTCGATTTGGAGGGCTCAGTGTTAGATCTGTGGATTGGGAGAGCATCAATAATGAAGCCAAACCAGTCTGGAAGTTTAGCAGGTGGAAGTCACAGGGTCGTGTGAGGTGACACTAAAATGTCGTATTTGCCTTGGACCCTCTGATGCCAGGAATTATTCTGGGGTGTTCTCCACTGGAATGTTTTTGACATTGAAGTGTGGAAAACTCTGTCTCTTGGCAATAAAATATAGGATTTGAGTGTTCCTGAAAGCTGTGTTCATTTTGTCACCTTCCAGTCACCCATCCACTGCTTCATCCCCTCCTGGCACATGGAGCCGTATCCTGGCTCTGCAGCAGCCCTGAGGGGACACCAGCCCTCAATTTGGAGCTAATTCCAGAATTATGGGATGTCCTGAGCTGGAAGTGACCCACAGGAACATCAAAGTCCAATCCCATCCCTGCACAGACACCCCAACAGTCCCACCCTGTGCATCCCTGAGAGTGTTGGTAAATGTTCCTGGAGCTCTGTCAGCCTTGGGGCCATGACCATTCCCTGGGGAGCATTTTCCAATGCCCAGCCACCCTCTGAGGGAAGAACCTTTCCCAAAATCCAGTGTAAACCTCCCTGTCAGAGCTTCAGCTGCTCCCCCGAGTTCAAGTGTGAGGCAGGAGTGTGTCTGAGCACAGAATTGTTGGCAGTTGGAATGACTTGGTGGAGGTTTTGGATGATGGAGGGTTTGAAGACCTTTCAAGAAGTTAGGAGAGAGAACAGAGGGGGAATCCAGGGCACAAAACCCCACCTCACTGCTTTAACATTGTGTTTCTCACACTCTCAGTTCCCTGCCCAAAGGAATCATCACCTTTAGAGCCTGAGGATCCTGTTGGATCTTCAAATATTGCCCCCGATACACTCCTGTTCTGACTAGAACTGAACCTGCTGGGGCCACATCACTCAGAGATCATACAGAACACAAGCTGGGTGTTTTCCAGACAGGCATTCCATAGGTTTTTATGGTCCTTTAGGTTTTGACAGCTTGGGATATGCCATATATCCCAACCTCGAAGTCTGGGGTTAAACCAACCGTAAATTTTTTAAGCCATCTTTAGCTTAAATGGGGAAAGTGTTTTATTCTCAAACCGATGTGTAAAACTTCCAGTGTTGGCTCATTCTCTTTCCTAAATATTCCTGTCCCACAGAGGCGGAGAAGCTGAACAAGATGAGCTCCCTCCTGGAAAGGCTCCACGCCAAGTACAGCCAGAACCGGCCCTGGACAGAAACCATGAAGCTGGTCCGTCAGGTCATGGTGAGCATTGCTGGGCTCTGAGCAGGAGCTGCCTGTGCTTTCTCTGCTGATAATTTTGGGTTGGTTCTTAGATCTTTTCAGGGTGTTTTTGTTGTGTCCAAGATCCTGGATCACCGTGGCTGGGGGGTCCCCACGGGGTGAAGGGGAAGGAGGGATGTCCAAACCCTCCCTTTGACGTGTCTTTGCCTTCCCTAATTACAGATAAATTATTAGCTCAGTGCCCAGAAGAGGGTCAAACTTGTATTTTCTGCAACTTACCCTTCCAGGATATTGTTTTGTAGAGGAATTTGCTAAATGACACTCAACACTCAGTGCTGMCTTACTCAAAAATGTGTTTGAAATATTTATCTGGGTGGGGAAGAAGGAGCAGGAGGCAGGGGAGAGCTACAGCGAAGCCTCCTGCGCATGTTCAGGTGTTAAAAGTTTGCCTGGCTCTTTATTTCTCCWTYACCTCTTCTAAAACTTTCAGCTTARACCTATTAAAAGTTGCTACAGTCTGTYCTTGCAGCTGAGCAAGTTGCTTAAAAGAAGATAAACCAATTGCAGGCTTGCCTTTGTTATTTTCTTGCAAGCAGACACTGTGCACARGAATAAAGATGATGTAATTTGGGGATGAAATCTAATCTGCTTTTAGYTATCTAAATAAACCTCACATGGTTGCACAAAAGTTGCCATAATTCCCTYCTGCTTAGAGACAAGTGAAAAATGACCTTTTTTCTTCTGTCTGACCCAGGAAAAGCGAGTGGTGCTGAAYTCGGGAGGGCACCAGCACCTGGTGAGCTGCTTGGAGACGCTGCAGAAGGCCCTGAAAGGTTGGTGTGTTTTCTGTGTGCTCCCCCCCAGGCTGCTGCAGGGTGGAAAATCCTATGGAAAYGCTCCATAAAAAACACACAGGGTGTTGCTGGTGCATTTCACTGTGTTGCTGGTGCTCAGGGGTGTGTCAGGGTGAGCCAGGCRGGACAGTCAGGACTGGCTGTGCTGCTTTTATTGGGAAAAGCCTCTCGTTGTCCAGAGCAGCTGTGGCTGCCCCATCCCTGGGAATGTCCAAGGCGTGGTTGGATGGGGCTTGGAGCAACCTGGGATAGTGGAAGGTGTCCCAGGGCAGGAATGGGCTTTAAGGTCCTTTCCAAACCATTCCACGATTCTCTTGAGTTCCCATACCTGGATTCTGCTTGCAGAAGAAATTACATTCTGTCTTTGTAGAGTGGGAATATTTGGGTTTCTCTRTGCAGACTTTCTGTCTACATTTGGGCTCATGTGATGGTGTGAGCAGACATGGGAGGGAGTAACCACCTGAGATTGGGTTTATTCCTGGTGCCTCATTCCTTAGGGAATATCAGATCATTCCCCTAAACATTATTTTTTGTTCCCTCCACCCAGTGTCATCTCTGCCTGCCATGACTGATCGCTTGGARTCCATCGCCAGGCAAAGCGGGTGGGTCTCCTCCTTTGATTCATGGCAAAGACTTTTCCCTGCCCACATCAGAATCTCCTGCTGCTTGGATTGGGATTTTTGTGTGCTTGGGTTGTGGGGTTTTATGTGCATGGACTGGGGGGGTTCGTGGCCTTGGATTGTGGGATTTGTGTGCTTGGATTGTGGGGTTTTTGTGCTTAGATTGGGGGGTTTGTGTGCTTGGATTGTGGGGTTTGTGTGCTTGGATTATGGGATTTTGTGTACTTGGAGTGTGGGATTTTGTGTACTTGGAGTGTGGGATTTTGTGTACTTGGAGTGTGGGATTTTGTGTGCTTGGATTGTGGGGTTTTTGTGCTTAGATTGGGGGTTTTGTGTGCTTGGATTGTGGGGTTTGTGTGCTTGGATTATGGGTTTTTGTGTGTGCTTGGACTGTGGGATTTTGTGTACTTGGAGTATGGGATTTTGTGTGCTTGGATTAGGGTTTTTTTGTGCTTGGATTGTGGGGGCTTTGTATGCTTGGATTGGGGGGTTTGTGTCTTGGGTTGGGGGGTTTTGTGTGCTTGGATTGGGGGTTTTGTGTGATGGATTGGGATTTTTTTTGGTTGGATTGTGGGATTTGTGTGTGCTTGGAGTGTGGGGTTTGTATGTTTTGGATTGTGGGGTTTTCTGTGCATCTGACAGCAATTTTTATTGTGTTTTCTCTGGAAGCCTCGGATCCCACCTGAGTGCGAACGGCACYGAGTGTTACATCACCTCAGACATGTTTTATGTGGAAGTGCAGTTGGATCCTACAGGGCTGCTCTGTGATGTCAAGGTGGCTCACCATGGAGAAAACCCTGTGGTGTGTATTCCTGGGAAAGAGGAACCCTTTTGGGATTGGGATTGGGATTGGGATTGTCCTTTTTACCTCCCTTTGATCTGAGCAGAGGAAATGGGTTGTATTTAATGTTCCCAGAGTTCCACCCTTGCTCATTCTGTTGGGAAGAAAAATCCTCCACTGAGTGATTAAATTATCCTCTGAGATAATTTAATCAATGCACACTATGGATTTACAACTGGCAAAATTATTTGAGGAAGTTTCCTCAGTGTTTCTGGGAATTTTATGGAAGTTATCGCTGTGTTTCCAAGGGAAAGGGGAATTACTCTTACAATATCCAGGAATGGAAAGTTCCAAAATACAGAATGCTGTGAGAAAATGGTTTTACTGCCCTTCTGCCTGAGGAGGAGAGTTAGACCTTGGTGTTTGATTTTCCTCTCCAGAAAACAGCCTTTCTTCAATATCCCTGTGTAAGGTCATAGATTTTCAACCTGAGGCTTGACAATTTGAGAAATTTTAATTCAAATTAATCATTTAAGAGGAAATGTTATTGCTTGGATTTGTCCCAGGTGTGGCTGCATTCCACACTGATATCGCTGTGTGTTCTTTTCTTTCCAGAGCTGTCCAGAACTGGTGCAACACCTGAGGTGAGTGACAGGGAGGGGTTGTTGTGTTTTCTCACAGATTTCTCTTTGCTATTTGATGTCTGGAACCACAAAATTCTTCACAACTGCTCCTTCCCCACCAATTGTCTTCACTTCTCCAGGGGTTTTCTGGCTTTGGCTTGKGATCCTGGCTGCTGTGCAAGGCGTTTTCAAAGCCACAGACATTAAAGCTGTATCATTTAAAGAACATTTTGTAGCTTTCATGTAGCAAAAGTGGGTTTTTAAGTGGCTCAGTGTCTGTGTTAATGTAACTTTTTAAAATTAAATGTGTCTGCTACTAATTTGAATGCTTGGTAACTTTTCCTCCCTCTTCTTTGCAGAGAGAAAAATTTTGATGAGTTTTCAAAGCATCTGAGGGGACTTGTGAACCTCTATAAGCTGCCAGGGGACAAGTAAGTCCAGAATATTTTTATATCCCCATATATAAAATGAAATAATAAGTCTAGAATACATTTATGTATACCCACATATCAAGCTTGTGGCTTTGCACTGCACAGTTTCTTTCAAGTTTTCTTATATTTTATTGTTTTTTTTTTTCTTTTCCTAAGCAAACTTAAAACTAAAATGTACTTGGCTCTGCAGTCCTTGGAGTTGGATCTCCAAAAGATGGCCGGGATGTATTGGTAAGTTTGTGGTTGGGTGGGGTTTGTGCATGTCTAGAAATGCTCAGAGCTCTGAGAAATTCCCTTTTAACTGCAGGATTTGTTTGGAAGAGAGTCTGAAAGGCAAAATAAAAAGTTTGTAATTTGATGGATTTAGTGATCATGTGGTTTACAATACAAGAAGTTGAAAAAACTTTGCCCATATTTCACTGCTGTAGATTCAGTGATAAACCAGCCATGCTGTAGAGAGTAAACCAGTTTTTGTTTTGCCTGCACAATGTGAAGTTTAGGACCTCTTTGAGTCCCAGAAATGTGTATTTTGGATTAAAATCAGTCTCAGCACATGAATTTTGGCTTCAGACTCTGATTGCCTCTCTTGCAGGCAAGCCACCAATGCAAACCCTTTGGACAAGATCCTCCATGGCAGTGTTGGTTATCTCACCCCCAGGAGTGGAGGTACTGATTCACAGTGGGGAAAAAAGAATTAATAAAGATTTATTTATTCCTGGCTCCCATTATGGGTGATAGTTTCACATTAACTGATGGAAAAGAATAAAGTAAAAGAGGGACAAGGTGTTTGGGTGGCTTTGTGGGGTGSGGATGATCAGGTTGACTACTCAGGATGCCTCACAGGAGTTTCTYTCCCCCAGGTCTCCTGATGAACCTCAAATATTACGTCTCCCCCTATGATTTATTTGAGGATGGCACCGGAGCCCCCGTGATTTTGCACGAGAACAATGGTAGGTCAGCTGTGGAACTGCTGGGGGCTGCTGCTGCTTGAAGGAGGGAAGGAAGCAGAATTCCAGCCTGGCTCCCCTCTGCTGTCACCCTGTCCAGCAGGACAATCACAGCTTTAGTGAGCCCAGGTGTAAACATTGGCCCAGGCAACCGTTGGTACTGACCTTGGACCTTGTGGCTGGGCTGGAGTTACAGCTGGACTGCTGTGGGATCATGGGGTGACAGTTTGCAGGCAGAGCCTTTTTCCTTGGAGTGAATCTCATYGTTAACATTAGATTAATTATCAGAATAAAACCACAGAATCCCAGAATGSTTTGGATTGGAAAGGAGCTTCAAGCTCATCCAATTCCAAACCCCTTSCACTATCCCAGGCTGCTCCAAGCCCCATCCAGCCTTGTGCCTCTTCCATCACACTGGAAGATTGTTTTTATGCATGGACATCTGGCTCTTGTTAAAATGCCAAAACCAAGCTCCACTTCTCAGGAAAGAAGAGAGGAAAATTATCCAACATCGTTATTTGTTTTGCTTTGCAAACTACAAACTTGCAAATGCGTTTGGAAAATATTTGGAGAATGACGCAATTGGTGCACCTGGTGAGTGGGAAATGGAGCTTTGGTAGAACAGCCAGTTTGGCTGTTGTCCATTCAGTCCTGAAGGTGAACAGTGAACTCTGTGCCTTGTGGGGGAAGCCAGGTATTTCCACCGGAGTGAGATTTTATGGAATCACAAAATGTTCTGTGTTGGAAGAGACCGTAAAGCTCATCCAGTTCCATGGGCAGGGACATCTTCCATAATTCCCACATTGCTCCGAGTGCCACCCAACCTGTCCTTCAGCACTTTTCTCAAGTATTTTTAATTCATAAAGTATTTAATCCTTAAATTAAATTCAAATAATAAATAAATTTTAAAATCAATCCTTAAAACTTGCACTGGTGGGTTTTTTTCACCAGTTAATGTCCTTGTTGGGTTCTTCTCTCGCTTSCCCCTGCAGTTCCTCGCTCGCTGGGTATGAACGTGTCCGTGACAGTCGAGGGGACCATGGCAATGCACAAACTTCCAATTGCTCCACTGATCATGGGCTCCCACCCCGTGGACAGCAAAGGGTAAGGGCAGAACATGAGGCCAGCACTCAGCATTTCATGAATTACACGAATGTCACAGCATTRTATCAATTACATGAATGTCACTGCATTATATGAATTACACATGTACACACTTAGGGCAAGAAATGCTGTTTTGGGGCTGTGAGGTGCTTTTGAGAAGTGCCTTTATTTTTAAATATATTTTTAAGTTGTATTTGAGAAAACATAAATGTTACCTCAGGCAACAGCAGAAGCCCTGCAGCTCACAGGAGCTTTTATTCCCCCCAATCTTCCAGGACTCCATCTTTCTCCTCGATCACCAGTGCCAACAGCGTGGACTTGCCAGCTTGTTTCTTCCTGAAATTCCCACGGCCCATTCCGGTGTCTCGAGCCTTCATTCAGAAACTCCAGAGCTGCACAGGTGGGTTGCAGACCTGTCAGATGCATCTTTGGGGTTTCATTCATGTTCCCTCATTTCCATCAATAAATGCTGCTGATTTTTATCACATGCCAGGGACGTTGCTTGAGGTTTTGTGCTTTTCTCAATAAAACCTGCACAGGTATTCCCACCATCTCTCTGTGCTCTTGTCCCCTCAGGTATCCCACTGTTTGACACAGCACCCACGTTTGTGCCCCTGTACGAGCTGATCACACAGTTTGAGTTATCCAAGGAGGCCGATCCCCTGCCCCTGAACCACAACATGCGCTTCTATGCAGTAAGTGTGCTCTCACAGCAGCCTGTGGCATGCCCACAGCTGTATTTTGGGAGGATTTTAGCTGTTTCAGAGATCCTCCAAGCATGATAAAGGAAATGGGTTCAGTATTTATTCACAGGCAAATCCTGTTCTATCCAAGCATTAGGATTCAKGTACAGAGCCCTGGCAAAGRTTCCCAGAGAAGCTGTGGCTGCCCCATCCCTGGAAATGTCTCTGGACRGGGYTTGGAGYAYCCTGGGATAGTGRGAGGTGTCCCTGCCCATGGTAKGGGGTGGCACTGGRTGGKCTTTAAGGTCCTTCCAACCCAAACCATTTCATGATGACCATGGCAATTAGAAAAATTAGGTAATGAGAAATACTTTCTTTTTGGAGTACAGCTGGAGAGGGGCTGAGCCTTCCCAGGATCTGTCCTTTCCTTTTGTCCAGTGATGTGTGACTGAATGAGTTTCAGCCACAATTTTGGGAGAAATCCTAATTCTTAAATTTGTGGATGACTCTTAAATCCAGAGGATTCTCTCTGCAGAAGTGAAGCCATACAATGTGAAACTCTTTTAGTGAAAACAGTGAATGYAGTTGGGCAGTATTACTTCTGAGGAATTAAAGTCACATTTTCCTTGTAGAGAGGAAGGAAAATGTCCTCAGTGTTTATCCCTTTGAGCCAGCAAGGTGACTTGGTGTCACTGGGATCTGGGTGTCATTTATCCCMTTCTGTGCAGCTGGACTAAAGCAGGAATTGTTTGTCAGGCTCTTCCAGGACAGCAGCACTGTTACTTCCTGAACAAAGACGCTCCTCTCCCGGAYGGGCGAAGCCTGCAGGGAACTCTGATCAGTAAAATCGCCTTCCAGCACCCCGGCCGGGTGCCCCTCATCCTCAACTTGATCCGACACCAGGTGGCCTACAACACCCTCATCGGCAGCTGTGTCAAGAGGACAGTCCTCAAGGAAGGTGRGTGCCATCTCCAGAGGAAAATTATGTGGGAATGATGAACTCTGGATACTTCTCCTCATTTCCTTTGCTGCTTCCCTTATTTTTTGCCCATCTCTATGTGGTTTTGAGGCTCTGGTTCATCTCTGCTGTTCCCTCAGTTAACATTTCCMATGTCTTCCAGATTCTCCTGGGATCCTGCAGTTTGAAGTTTGTCCTCTCTCTGACTCCCGTTTCAGTGTATCCTTCCAGCACCCRGTGAACGACTCCCTGGTGTGTGGTAAGTGGGCTCAGGAAGGCAGGATTGAGATTTTGGGAAGGCTGGCAGGTTTTTTTTTGCCCAGTGTCCAGGAATTTAATCTCTTCTAAACACCTGCTCTCTTGCAGTGGTGATGGATGTGCAGGACTCCACCCATGTGAACTGTAAGCTGTACAAAGGGCTGTCTGATGCCCTCATCTGCACAGATGATTTCATTGCCAAGGTTGTTCAAAGGTAAGCTGGGTTTTTTTCCCAAAAACACAACTTCACAGGTGAGCTCTGCTCTGTCTCATATTTATCCAGCAGTTCTGGAGCTGTTCTGTGGTTGTTTGGAAGAGAGAAAAGCTCAAAACCTATTGAAAATTCAATTCCAGATGCTGAACTGTTTCTTATTTTTGAGTCTGTTGTTTACACAGGGCCTTTATCCAGGTTCCCCCACCTCAGTTACATTCAGAACAGAGTTAACCCATCATCTTTTGAGTGAGAAACACTGGATTTGCTTTCAGGATGTTTTAAATTTGTCATCCCTGAGGAGAAYGTGGTGRTGTCACTGAKTTTTGAGCAAYCTCAGAAAGCTGTCCCTGCCCWYGGCAGAGGGCTGCAACTGCATGTKCWTTTAACCCTTCTAACCCAAKCCWTYCTKRGATTTTTAYAAGGTTGCAGGAAATCAGGTTTGCCAAGCTTAGATAAAGGTGTTTTCTGGCAGAATGGAGTAAAGACCCAGGTTCCTTCATCAGAGCAAGGCAATGGGGAATGACTTTAAACTGAAACTGYRGYTTTAGATGGGATAKTGRGAAGAAATTCCTCTCTGTKAGGGTGGYAAGGYCCTGGCACAGGCTGCYCTGAGATTTTATGGGTGCTTCATCCCTGGAAGTGTCCAAGATCAGGTTGGATGAGGCTTGGAKCAACCTGGGAGRGTGAGAGRTGCCCCTGCCCMTWGCAGGGGGTGRCACTGGATGAGCCTTAAGGCTTYTTCCCAACCAAAACAATCCATGATTTTGTGATTGCATCCTGTGCATTTTGACTACCAAATAATGATCTGTCAGCCATTAGTTATCAGAGTTAATTGATTAGTTCTCCCTCTGGGATTGCAAGGCGGTGCATAAAGGTGCTGGATAAGGGAGGTGGGATAAGTGAATCCAAGCAGAACAGCAGGAAATAAAACCTGGGCCTGCTGCTATCCTGTGCAAGCCCCTGAGTGTTCATTTTACATCTGGTGAAGGTGTAAAACCTCTCTGGTGATCTTTTTTAAGTGCAGCTGACCCCACGCTGACCCTCTGCCGTATCTTGCAGGTGCATGTCCATCCCTGTCACCATGAGAGCCATCCGTAGGAAAGCAGAAACCATTCAAGCTGACACCCCAGCRCTGTCCCTCATTGCAGAGACAGTCGAAGACATGGTGAAGAAAAACCTGCCCCCCGCCAGCAGCCCAGGGTATGGCATGACCACAGGCAGCAACCCAATGAGCGGGACCACCACCCCAACCAACACTTTTCCTGGGGGGCCCATCACTACTTTGTTTAACATGAGCATAAGCATGAAAGAGAGGCATGACTCGGTGGGCCATGGGGAGGACTTCAGCAAAGTGTCTCAGAACCCTATTCTCACTAGTTTGTTGCAGATCACAGGGAATGTGGGGTCTACCATTGGCTCAAGTCCAACCCCCCCACACCACACACCACCACCAGTATCCTCACCAGCCAGCAACACCAAGAACCACCCCATGCTCATGAACCTTCTTAAGGAGAATCCCCCTCAGGATTTCTCCACTCTGTATGGGAGCAGCCCTCTGGAAAGGCAGAACTCTTCCTCTGGCTCCCCCAGAATGGAAATGGGCCCTGGGGGGAATAAGCAAAAGAAAAAAAAATCCCGCATGCCAGCCGACAAGCCCAAGCACCAGACTGAGGATGATTTCCAGAGGGAGCTCTTTTCCATGGATGTTGACTCCCAGAACCCCATTTTTGATGTCAACATGACTGCAGACACCCTGGACACCCCTCATATTACTCCAGCACCCAGCCAGTGCAGCACTCCTCCTACCACCTACCCCCAGGCCATCCCCCACGCGCAGCCCAGTATCCAGAGGATGGTTCGCCTGTCCAGCTCGGACAGCATCGGGGCCGATGTCACCGACATCCTCTCGGATATAGCAGAGGAGGCTTCCAAGCTGCCCACCAGTACCGAGGACTGCCCACCCATTGGGACTCCAGTCAGAGACTCTTCTAGTTCAGGACATTCACAAAGTGCCCTCTTTGACCCCGATGTTTTTCAGACCAACAGTAGCGAGAACCCTTACACAGACCCCGCAGATCTGATCGCAGATGCCGCTGTGAGCCCCAACAGCGACTCCTCCAACCATTTTTTTCCAGAYGGGGTAGATTTCAACCCTGACTTGCTGAACAGTCAGAGCCAGAGTGGTTTTGGGGAGGAATACTTTGATGAGAGCAGTCAGAGTGGAGACACTGATGATTTCAAGGGTTATGCCCCCCAGGCTCTAACTAATTTGGGGGTGCAAGTCTTGGGGGCTGACGGGGGGGAAAATAAATTTAAGGGGAGCGCTCCRTCCGAGACGGTGGATTTTAGTATTATTGCAGCTGCCAGCAAAGCACTGGGCTCCTCTGACATCATGGAGCACCACAGTGGAGGGCAGAGCCCTTTGCTGAACACGGGGGATTTGGGAAAAGAGAAGTCTCAGAAACGGGTAAAGGAAGGCAATGGGTCTGGAAGTGCCATGGCGGGCGCTGGGATAGACGGGAAACCGGGGAAGCGCAGCCGGACGCCGTCCAGCGATGGKAAAAGCAAAGAGAAACTCCCAAAGCGGAAGAAGCAGGAGACAGACGGGAAGTCTCCATCTCACAGTTCATCCAACAGGCCCTTCACGCCACCAGCAAGCACAGGTGGGTCCAAATCTCCAGGGAGTTCGGGCAGATCTCAGACTCCTCCCGGGGTAGCCACTCCTCCTATTCCAAAAATAACCATTCAGATCCCAAAAGGAACAGTGACTGTTGGCAAACCCTCTTCACACGGCCAGTACACGAGTAGTGGTTCTGTCACCTCCAGCAGCAAAAGCCATCATAGCCATTCTGCCTCCTCCTCCTCTTCTTCCTCCTCTTCAACCTCAGGCAAAATTAAAAGCAAATCAGAAGGGTCTTCTGGCTCAAAGATGAGCAGCAGCCTCTACTCCAGCCAAGGCGGCTCCGGTTCGGGTCAGTCCAAGGGCTCGGCCCAGTCGGTGGGAAAGCCAGGATCCTCCCCCATCACCAAGCACGGCCTCAGCACCGGCTCTGGCAGCACCAAGATGAAACCTCAAGGAAAGCCATCGTCCCTCATGAACCCTTCCATGAGCAAACCAAACATCTCTCCATCTCACTCGAGACCCTCGGGGGGTTCTGACAAACTCGCCTCTCCCATGAAACCTGTCCCAGGCACTCCCCCGTCRTCTAAAGCGAAATCACCCATCAGTTCAGGTTCCGGTGGGTCCCACATGTCTGGGACTGGATCGAGCTCRAGCATGAAATCATCTTCAGGAATGGGATCCTCTGGGTCTATGTCACAGAAACCACCTCCCTCCTCCAATTCCTCCACGGCATCTTCATCTTCCTTTTCATCCAGTGGGTCTTCCATGTCTTCATCCCAGAACCARCATGGAAGCTCCAAAGGCAAGTCCCCCAGCAGAAACAAGAAGCCATCGCTGACCGCAGTCATAGACAAGCTGAAGCACGGCGTGGTCACGAGCGGGCCTGGCGGAGAYGACCCCATGGATGGACAGATGGGGCCGAGTAACAATTCCTCAAGCCATACCATGTCCTCCAAACACAACATGTCTGGAGGGGAGTTCCAGGGAAAGCGGGAGAAGAGCGACAAGGAGAAATCGAAGGTCTCTGTTTCTGGAGGATCCGTCGACTCTTCCAAGAAGAACTCGGATTCCAAAAACGTCGGGAGCACTGGAGTGGCCAAAATCATCATCAGCAAACAYGATGGTGGTTCCCCCAGCATTAAAGCCAAAGTAACCCTGCAAAAACCYGGGGAGGGGGGCGGGGACGGCCTGAGGCCTCAGATGGCTTCTTCCAAAAGCTACGGATCCCCCCTGATCAGCGGCTCCACCCCCAAACACGAGCGCTGCTCCCCCAGCCACAGCAAATCCCCGGCCTACACCCCCCAGAACATGGACAGCGAGAGTGAGTCGGGCTCGTCCATCGCCGAGAAATCCTACCAGAACAGCCCCAGTTCCGAYGATGGCATCCGGCCCCTGCCCGAGTACAGCGCCGAGAAACACAAGAAGCACAAAAAGGAGAAGAAAAAAGTGAAAGATAAAGATCGGGACAGAGACCGGGATCGGGATAAGGACAGGGACAAGAAGAAATCGCACGGGATGAAGCCGGAGAGCTGGTCCAAATCCCCGATCTCGGCCGATCAGTCTCTGTCCATGGCGAGCAGCACCATCCTCTCGGCTGAGCGGCCGTCACGGGCCAGCCCCGAGTTCCTGATCGGGGAGGAAGATGATGATCTCATGGATGTTGCTCTAATTGGCAATTAATTCTCCTGGACGAGCTGTCTGCAAGGCCTGCGGGTCCTGGAAGGAAGGAAGGAAGGAAGGATTCATCCCAAACCTGTCACGCAGATCTTCACAAGATGTGTTTGGAGAGGGGGAAAAATAAGTATTTCCATGATATTTCCAAAATTTTCGGATCTCCAAGGTCTGTGCAGAAGGTGTGAGTGCCAGCAGCCAGGTCCCTGCCTGTGGCCTTCATCCTGTGGGCACTTCCATTCTTCCTGAATTTCTGAGTATTATCATCCCTGTTGGARTTAATGGGGGTGAAGCCAAGTGTGGGAATGTGGGAACAAACAGACATAGGCTGGTCTGGGAGATCCCAGTCCCTTGGCCCTCTTCCCATTCAGGATAAGCTCCTTTCGGATGTAGGAAGTTTTCAAGTATTTTAGGAAACGTTTTAGGCTTGGGTTTTAATTCTTTGGAAGAAGGAAAAACGTGAGGTTTTTAATTTATTTTATTCCCGCGGCATTCCTTCATTCAATGCCTCTGGCACGAGCCGGGTGCTGTGTCCTCATGGAAATCAGGATTTTATCCCAGGTCACAGGATTGAAGGATTGCTGCTGCCTTGGGTTTGCCTTCCCTTTTGTTTTAACTATTTATTCACTTCCCTGTGGGAACGCCTCRTGCTCCTTGTTTCCCCAGAAGGGAGTTTGGGTAGAGCCCGTGGGTTTGGGCAGCTTTGGTGACATTCCAGCGTGGTGAATTTCCAACAAATCCCAGTGGAAAAAGGGACTCCTGTCTGCACTAAAGAGCTTCCCTGGAATCTCCTCGTGCTGCTCGGCTGGGAATTGTGGTCACACAAACACGGGCGCTGCCCTGGCGAGGATTGTCCGGCCAAAGGAGCCGTGTCCTGCTTGGCACCAGGGTCCCTGAGTGGCTCAGCTGGGATCAGAGTTGCAGCAGAAGTGTTCATTTCCTTACAAGATGGATTTTCCCCTTTTGGCTGGAATTAGGAGCATGACTCAGGCATCCTCTCCGGGCTGATCTTGTGGTCCCTGAAAGGAAAAGAGACTCAGGAGAGCGTTTTATTTTTAAAAGCAGTTTCATCTGATTCACTGAAGAGGAATGTGGGAAATCAGGAGTTCTGCAAACACATCTCCTTTGGAATTATGTACTGAGCAGGATCCTGCTCCCACTGGATTTTGCTGTCGGTTCTGGAGGCCAGGATTTCCCTGTGGGAATGAGGTTATSCTTCACCTTTGGGCATGCAGCGTGGAAAGTCGGCAAGAATTTGAATTTATTTTAAACCACTGAAATTCCCCATCCCTGGCTGACCCCAGGGATACCTTAGGAAAGCTTCTTGGTTTCCAGCTTTTTGCAAAGGCCACTATCTTTTCAGTAGGGTGGTGACTTTCCCGTTAATTGTAGGGATTTTTCACCTCTYCCTCCTGCCTCCAGTTTAATTCCAGGGCTCCTGCAGAGCGTGGGAGCCTGAATTTCTCCCAAACTTCCCCCAACTCTGGAAAACTTCTCCCTTCTCGTATTTTCCAATATTTACCCCACGCTCCTGGTGTCCTGTGTGTGCCACAACCTCCCCCTCRCCAGAACTCCCGTCCTCAGGGGCTGAAACGATAGGAAAAGGGGAAATAAATCCAAACCTGGAGCAAATGCTGTTGTCTCACGCAGCGTTGGAATCGTGTGACTGCGGGGTGCTACGAAGAGGATGTCAGGAATGCAATCCCAGAGGAATTTAGCTGGAGACCCCRCTCTGGTGGCTGCGTTGGGAACGATGCCGGCTCAGCCTCCTGCCTGCCCCACTCTCCCGATTTATTTAATTCTTTTTTTTTTGTTTTTTTGACAAAAAGCCCTTTGAACCGTTCCGAGTTGTGCGAGGGCACTACCAGCCTTCCAAGAGAAGCACTTTCAAGTGGAATCCAGGCTGGGAATCCCACAGGATGGCTYCCTGGACTTGGTCTTAGCCAGAGCCGTGTTTTCCTGCTGTGAAAAAAAAAAAAACCAAACTGGAAGGAGGTTCTGTTCTGCAGCAAAATGGACACAAGAATGTGTTTTAAAGGAACAAGCTGCACGTGTTTCCTCTCCCCTCACCCAGACCAAAGCTCAGTATCCAAAATTCCCTCTGTGGAAAGCAGGAACAGAGGGAACAACCCAAATTTAAAGCTTTTCACCCCATTTTGGTGCCCTGTCCCTTTCCAATGATGGCAGTCCTGGGAGAGCTGAGGTGCGTGACCACACAGAGGCTTTGGGTTGTCAGTGCTCGGGCTCTGAGAAATGGTTTATTTTTGAAATATTTTTGCTTATTCTCAATTATTTTACATCTTTCAGTATTCAGAAAGATAAAATAAAGTGAAAATTTAAAATATAAGCCAAACCTTTTAATCTCAGGTGGGTGAAGTGAACACGGAGATTAAAAGAAACTGGTTCTTTTCCTCGATTATCATGATGTACATAAATCCCTGGGTGGAAAAAAAATCGCTGTTATTGTAAATATCGCGGCTCCCGCGGCAGTTTTTTGGCCGGAAAGTGGTATTTCAACTTTTTTGGAAATATTGCAGAGAACATGTTTATTTACATGCAAATAAACCCCTTTGGTACAAACAGGTCTCTGGTCTCTCTGATAAGGACAGGGTGAGAAGGGCATCCCCGCCACGCTTGATTTTCCCGCGAGAATGACATCATCGTGACGTCACTGCAGTGCGAGGCGATGATTGGYTGAACTCGCTGCTCCCGGAAGGGAGCGGAGGGGCGGGGGACGCCCCCCACCCCCCCCTTCCCGGGACCCCCGATCCCCGCAGCCCCCCGGACACCGGGGGGAGGAACCTGCGGCCCCCGCACCCGCGGGGCTGGGGGGTCCCGTACCCCCGGGAAGGGGGGGGGAGAAGCGCCCCTCGCCCCGCACCGGGGGAGGGGGCGAGAGGACCCCCGCGGCRGCGCGATGGGGGCGGCGGCTTGCGGGGTAGGTGGGGAGGGGGCTCGCTCGTGTGTGTTCCCCCCACCCCGGTTCTTCTCCCTCTCTATCCTCTCTCCGTCCCCGGGATATCCCCGATCCCGCATCCTCGGGCCAGCCGCGGTCCTGCCACCCTCTCCCCGCGCCGCCTCCCCTCGGTGTCCCCGGGCGGTCCCGCTCCCGTTCCCGCTCCCCTCACCCTCCCCGCTCCCATTCCCCTCCCCCCTCAGCCGCCCCTCTCCCGTCCCCCTCCTCTCTGCACCCCCTTTTTCTCCTCCATCCCCCTCCGCGGCGCACTCCCCGTT